ATGTTTGAGTTTCAGTCATACAATGATCATACACCATCCCTCCACCAGTGCAGATTTCCCACCACCAATGTCCCCAGTATCCCTACCCCGCCCTTGTCCCACCCCGCCCTCCCCTGCCTCTATGGTAGACAATTTCCCTCTTATTCTCTCTACTTGAGCTTCCATATGACCCTGCAATACCATGTCTGGAAATGTATCCCAAGGGTGCAAAAAAGCACAGCAGAAATGACATCTGCACCTGTATGTTCATTGCAGCACTGTATACAATAGCCGAAATCTGGAAACAACCCGAGTGCCTGAGAACAGACAACTGGTTTTAAAGAAACTTTGGTACATCTACACAGTGGGATACTATGCAGCTGTTAGGAGAGATGAAGTCATGAACTTTGCTTATAAATGGATGGTCATGGAGAGTATCATGCTAAGGGAAATGAGTCAGAAAGAAAGAGGCAGACATAGAAGGACTGCACTCATTTGTGGAATATAAAATATCATAACATGAGATTAACAGCAATTCTACTGGCTAGATGCACTGACTTCCTTCCAATCTTAGGAAATTTTTTTTTGGTTGTTGTTGTTGTTGCTGTTGCTTTTTGGGTCACACCCAGCAGTGCACAGGGGTTACTCCTGGCTTTGCACTCAGGAACTACTCCTGGCAGGGAAACGGGGGTTTTAACCACTCATATGACACTGGTCAGCCTACTGTTCTGAAAGCAAACTTTAAGTTGGCACAGAAAATATCCAGTGAAGCCGCCAAAAGGCGGGGTTTCCCATGAGACTCTGGTGCTGCCTGTTCACTTTCTAAGATGAGAAGTTCGGTAGTTGGTCTTCTCCACTGGAAGGGCAGGAAAGGCCTGCTGATGTCTCTGGGAATTCCTAGGCACGTTATGTGACCCTGAAGAGGTCTGCTCTCGGTGACACTGTCAACATGCACTGAATCATTGCCTCTCGAAGTTTGGATCCATCTGGAGGGAAAGCACAAGGATTTAGTTAATTAAATTAAAATGACCATCCTCAGACAGAAGGAAATATCCAGCAGGTGATCAATATCTGAGCCTTCCCACCTTTCTCCTCCTTCATCTTTGATGGCTCCCATCCAGATTGAATAATATGGAATTTTAGACATATTATTATTTCAGTATGCCATCATTCATTTTAGATCAGTGATTTTCCACTTGTTGGGATTTTGTTCATCAGGAGAACACACCAAAGTTGAGGTAGTTTTGTTTGTCCCAACTGGAGAGTAGGGGAATGCTGATCCCGCAACATAAAGAATTATCTGGGCCAAAATGTCAATGTTCTGTACTTTAAAGCTGTGTTTGGTTCATTTCTTTTAAAAAAAATTATTTAGTCCTCGTGAATTCCAAAGTTATTCATGATTGGGTTTCAGATATACAGTATTCCAATACCAATCCCCTCACCAGTATCTACTTCCCCCCACTGGTGTCCTCAGTTTTCCTCGAGGCCACCAGCCTGTGACATGTGGCTTACCATAGTGCCACTGATAGGGGTTTGGGCAGATACTTCACCACCTTTCAGCACCCCATCCTTCTTTGCAGAGTTCTCTTCCCTGCCCTACTCCTTCCTCTCCCCCTCCCCCACAGCAGACTCCCTACCGAAGATTTGTTCTCATGTTTTTCATTTCTTTTGTCTTTGGGCATTATTCCCCTAGTAGCCCAGCAAGCTACTGAGAGTATCCCTCCCGCACGGGCAGAACCTGGCAAGCTCCCCGTACCATATTCGATATACCAAATGCAGTAACGACAACAGGTCTCATTCCCCTGACTCTGAAAGAGCCTCCAATCGTTGGGGAAAGACGAGTAAGAAGAGGCTGCTAAAATCTCAGGGCTAGGAGGAATAGAGATGTTACTGGTGCTTGCTCGAGTAGTTCGACGATCAACGGGATGACAGTGATACAGTAATGTTTTTTGTATACTACCTCTGAGAGAGATCAGTCTGAGTGGGTCTTTCTCCCTCTGACCAGCTTCGCTCAGCATCATACCAGATCCATCCATGTAGCAGCAAACTGCATGATTTTTATCTTTTCTTAAGGCCAAGTAGTATTCCATCGTGTGTATGTACCATGGTTTCTTTATCCTGTCGTCTGTTCTGGGCACTTGGGTTATTTCCTGGCTATTGTGAACAGTGCTGCAATGAGCAGAGTGCAAATGCCTTTTCTCCATTGTGTTTTGGGGCCCTTGGGGTATTATTCCAACAAGTGGGTGGGAGGAGATTGGGTCATACCCAGCTGTACTCAGGACTTTCTCCTGGTCCTCTGTGCACATGGATCCCTCCTGGTGATGCATAGGGCGCCATATGCAGTGTCAAAGATTGAACCAGGGCAGGCCACTTGCAAGACATGTACTGTTTCTCCAGGCGCAGTGAATTTTTCCCCACGTTATTTAGAACCATGGTTTACAAAATTGTTCATGATGATGTTATAGAAGCCTACTTAATTTCTTTTTTTTTTCCTTTTTGTGTCACACCCAGCGATGCACGGGAGTTACTCCTGGCTTTGCACTCAGAAATCACTCCTGGCAGTGCTCAGGGGACCATATGGGATGCTGGAAATTGAACCCGGGTCGGCTGCATGCCAGGCAAACACCCTACACGCTATACTGTCGCTCCAGCACACACTCAATTTCTTGAGTTTAAGTTTAAACAAAAGGAAAAGATTGAAAAGGATCGATATCAAAGGCTGAGGATTAAGTTTGGGACAAATTGAGGTCCCACCTACCAGATACTAGGATCCCCCGACTCTTGATAAACATTACAGATGTTTAGCTTAAAAACAAGAGCCTCTTTAGATACTCATTTTCATTTCAGTTCTTTAGCTTATTAAAAAAGGTAGAGAAACCAACCCAAGAAACATCATGGGAGAGACATGGTTCAGTCAGGGTGGAAGGTATAGATCATGAGATAAATGAATGATGCGGTGGATACAAGGCAGGGTGGCCCGTGCTGCGGCAGGAATCCTGCCAGACATGCCAAGTGACTAGCTTGGATTTTATCCCAAGAGGTGGGGAGAGCCGTTCAGATGGGACCTGGTGCTCTTTCCTGTACTGATTCATAACCTGGGCATGCTTCTGTTATTACTTACGTCTCTCTCTATCGGATGTGTTGTAATTTGGTCAGCTGAACAAGCACCTTATTTGCTTGCGTTGAGTACAGAGAGTTTTCATTAAGTGTTTGACAGGTTTAGCAGCATCACATAATAATTGCTTTTTTCCATTTTGGGCCACATGCTAGTCCTAAACGCTTGTTTCTGATACAGTTGTTGAGCTCTTGAAAGGCAACTTCCTGACTTACGAAAGGTGAGCTTTCAGGATGGGATGGAAACCTTCCAGAACCCACAGGTTGCAGAGCCAGTAATGCTTAGTGGTCACAGTGAGAAGTTCGCCAGCAAAAAGTGAAGAGGAGAGAGTTTTCATTGCCTTCCTTCCTTCCCTCCTTCTCTACTTCCTTTCCTCCCTTCCTCCCCCTTCCCTTCCTTCCTTCCTTCCTTCCTTCCTTCCTTCCTTCCTTCCTTCCTTCCTTTTTCTTTTTTTTTCTCAGGTTGGCCATGTTGACTGCATGCAAGGCAAATGCCCTACTAAAAATTTTTAGCTTTTTATTAATTGAATCACTGTGAATGACAAAGTTGCAAAGATAATTATGATTGAGTCTCAGGTATATGTTGTTCCAACACCAGTCCCTTCACCAGTGCCCACTACCTTCCACCAATGTCCCCAGTTTCCCTCCCACCGACCTTTCGTATGCCTCTGTGGCAGGCACTTTCCCCTCCCCCATTGCCCTAGAATTCCCTTCCCTAACCTCCCTCCTCACCCCTGTCCCAGTGCCAGGCTTCCTACTAAGACCAGTTCCCCATTGCCTTTCTTTGCTGACCCTGCACTCTGGTAAATGTCATAGGGACCCTTTTCCCACTTCTCCCGGTGTGGAACTGCCCTCTGTCTTCTCTTGCACTTTTCTCCTGGAGTTCACTCCCAAGTGGTCCGTAGGCCTGTGTGCGGGTCCCCACAGGGCAGGACAGGAGGTCAGGGAGCTACCCGCTGGACAGTCTGACATGTTGGTCATGGAAGGCATGCTCCTTGCTCGCTGCTAGTTTTACTATCTCCCTCTGCCCTTTTTTTTTTTTTTGCTTTGCTTTCCTTTTCATTTCTTTCTGTGAAACAGTGTTTTCCTTTTAAACTGTATCCAGAATGAGAAAAAAATAAATTCTATTGGCTTCTATCAGTGAGTATTTTTCCCAGTGAATATTTAGTCTAGTTGTTGGATTTGTCTTTCACTTGGCAGGGCTTTTGGCTCTGCATATTTTACCATGCCTTCGTTAGATCCACGGTCAAGAAAAGCAGAAGTTTAGATTGGTTATTGCATCTCACCGACTTGCATCACCCTTCCGCCTGAAGGAAGTGATTTTTACAAGTGATAGGCTTATATTTTAACCCTGGGAAATGGTATGAACAAAAATACAGCATGTTTCAAGAGGAAGTCCTAAAATACTATGGCCAACTCTATTACGGCAATTACAGTGAACTGCTGTGAAGTTTTATTTCAATCTTCATGGTTCTGACAAGTTCTAGATAAACATCACTGTTCGGGCTTTATTTTGATCCGAGGTGCATTGGAACCATTCGGAAGTTCATAGTGGCAGGGTCTGGGAGCGAGAGGTGGAATGAGGCGATCCATGGAAAACAAAGTCTGGGCATAGTTATTAATTATTGAACTCATGTGATCTACTGTCATCATTTTTACTGTCCTATAGGTAAATATAAAATTTGGAATAATGTACAGGTGTGTAAATTCTGGAAGAGGAAGTTGTAACTTTTTGTTGACTTTTCGTATGCAAATAAGGTGCTATGTGTTTTATTGTCCATTGCTTTCTTTATTTTTCAAAACTTTAAGAAGTAAGTAAAGGAAAGGGAATCACTTTAGCCTTAGTCATTGCAGTTCTGCGCTCATCCAGAGGACTGAAACTGCTTCCTGTTATGTTTCCTTTCCAGAAAATCCACAGTTCTTCATATTTCAGCAGTTCGGGGTGCAAGTTTGGTGCTGGCAAAGTGATTTCAAGGTAATCATTTCTCTTGTTTATTCTCATTTTCTCTGTTCATGCTTGCTTATAGTATCATTTGTTTACTTGGGGCCTGTGTTTGTGGTGTAAGAGCTTTGAAATGGAAGCATCTCCGGAGCATTGACAGCTCAGTTTTGCATTTGGTTCTTTGCCATAGAAACTGAGGCACTTGGAGGCTGGAGCAACAGTATAGCAGGTAGGGCATTTGCTTTGCATGTGGCCGACCTGTGTTCGATTCCCAGGACCCCATATGGTCCCCCGAGCACCACCAGGAATAATTCCTGAGTGCAAAGCCAGGAGTAACCCCTGAGCATCGCTGGGTGTGACACATAAAGCAAAAAAGAAAAGAAAAAAAAAAGAGAAAAATAAAAAGAAGAAAAAGAAACCGAGGCACTAACAGTGCTCTAACATGTGTTTCCCCCTGTTCTGTTAGTGACACTCTCCTAGCTCGGTCTTGTAAGCCAATGGAAAATTGTAGCACTGTAGCCCTGTTGTCCCTTTGTTCATTGATTTGCTAGAGCGGGGACCAGTAACGTCTCCATTGTGAGACTTGTTGTTACTGTTTTTGGCATATCAAATACGCCATGGGGAGCTTGCCAGGCTTTGCCATGCGGGTAGCTTGCCAGGCTCTCCAAGAGGAATGGAGGAATAGAACCCGGGTCAGCCGTGTGCAAGGCAAATGCCTTACCCGCTGTGCTACCGCTCCAGCCATCCGGAGCACAGAAATAGTAAATAGAGAGCCTCAGGATGGGGTGGAGGCATCCACGGAGGTTACCACACCATGCTTACCACCACCACACATCTACAGAGCAACTATGTTTGCAGTTATTCATTGCATTAGTAATTTCTTTTAGTATTGGAGCAATAGCACAGCGATAGGGCGTTTGCCTTACAAGCGGCCAACATGGCCGACCCGAGTTCGATTCCTCCGCCCCTCTCGGAGAGCCTGTCAAGCTACCGAGAGTATCTCGCCCGCACAGCAGAGCCTGGCAAGCCACCCATAATGTATTCGATATGCCAAACACAGTAACAACAAAAGTCTCCAATGGAGACGTTACTGGGCCCGCTCGAGCAAATCGATGAACAATGGGAGGACAGTGACTCTGTATATATATACCATCTGACTATAGGTAAGTGCATTTTATAGAGCCAATCTGATTGGCTTACCATCTAACTAGATGTTATTAATAATAATAACAGTAAAGTTCTCTAAAAATTACCTGAACAACTTTGGGTAATTTTAATCCAGAAACAAACAAAAACATCCAATCTAAATGAACAAGTTAATGCAAAGGCATTGTTAATTAGTTTGCGTGTTTGCTGTCAACTTTTACAATGGATTCTGGACTTTGAAACTGTATTTGCACCCACTGAAAAGATTTACAGACCTCAGGCACCGTGACTCCGCTGACCCCTATCCATTATACATCGTTATTCCAATCCCGCTGTTGGTTGGAAAGGAAGAAGTACATCTGGTCTGAACAATCTCAGTATCTTCACAGAAGGAGTCTTATAAAATAGAACACTGTCTTTTCATTGAAGTTTCCCTTCAACTTTTAAAGAAATTCTCTCTCTTGCCAATGTAACCCTTTTTCTTCGTAGAGGCCCAGGAGCTATTTCAGGGTCATTCGGTTCCTCTTTGGTCTCTCAAAATTAACTGCAGATCCTGGCAAACAACTTGCCTTTTGTTAGTTAATTTAAAGAATTGGTGCATTAGGGCTTTGATTATTTACACTCCAGAAAGACGCCTTCCTCTAATCTCCTGACACTGGACAAGAATCTCAATGCAGAAATTAACTATTATATTCCTGCACACATGTTTTTTCAATAGAACTGCTCACCTTTGTGTATTTTATGTGCAGGCCTGAAATGTATAGTATTTTTCTGCTGGGGGAATCAAGTTTTAACTCAAGAATCTATATACCATAGAATAAGCATCAGTGGTTATTGTAGTGAAATCACAGTTCACTTCCGTTTCTGAGAAGCTTTGTATTGTATCTGAACCTGACCAATACTGAAATTTTACTATGAGGATAATTTTTTGCCTTGAAATCTTTGGGACTCAGAATCTCCCATTTTCTCTGTGCCAAATTATTAACCCCCGTGTTTCCATTACCTTCATTTGTTTGTACCAAACAACTCTCAAAATTAGTATCGGTACAAGTGCGACTGCCTTCCCTACCCCCTTCTCTCATTTTCTTCCTACAACCGATTCCTTCAGCCAGGAATCAATATTTCAATTAAAGGCATCACCGTCCACCCCATAACTCACGCGAGAAATCTCTGTTCCTGACGTGCTTGACCCTCTGCATTCAGTCCACAGCAGACTCTACCCTGAAGATATATTAGAAAGTTACAGGAAGAGTGACCGATGCCTGGCGAGGTCACATATTAATTGCCATCTGCCACAAATGCTCACTGTAAATATCTTTCAGTTCTTCCTCATTCTGTCTCCCCCAGCACTACTGTAGAGCTAGCTTCCATCAGCTTTGAGCCAATTTGTTGCTACAGCAAACGAATACAGCTCGCTTCCCACAGATGGTCCCTCTAGGTACCCTGCTCCACATTTATAATATGATTTTCTACTCAGTGGCCGCGGTGGGCACCGGTAATAGATCCACACCCTGTCAGAACGGAGAGTGCTATGTGCCCTCCGGGGCACTGCCTCCCCCTCCTCCTCATTCTTTGCTTTATTAAGACTAGATTTTTTTTTTTGAATTGCTTAAAAACACTGTGCCAGTGAGACACATCAACCTTTGCATGTTTTTTTTTAATTTTTTTTTCAATTCCCTGAAATGCCCTTGCCAACCCTCCTTTTTCCTTTGCAGTTTTGAGCTACACCCAGTGGTGCTTTTTTTTTTTTCTTTTTGGGCCACATCTGGCAATGCACAGGGGTTACTCCTGGCTCATGCACTGAGGAATTACTCCTGGCTGTGCTTGGGGGACCATATGAGATGCTGGGAATTGAACCTGGGTCGGCCGCCTGCAAGACAAATGCCCTACCCTCTATGCTATCGCTCCAGCTCCACCCAATGGTGCTTAGGGTTCGCTCCTGGCAGCCCTCAGTGGACCACATGGTACCAGAGGTCCGACCCAGTTCTCCTGCAGGCAAAGCAAACGCTCATCCTTTTGAATTATTTTTCAGCCCCTGCCCCCTTTCCTTAAGAAATTTGCAGTCTCTCCTTCAGACTCACCACAGTTTCTCACTGGTCCAAGCAGTCTTCCCAGTTTTCCCCCATTCATCTCTGGGCTCCTGCAGTTCCTCAGTTCTGTCATCCTGTCAGCCACTTCAGTGTCTGACCCTCCTTTAGACTCTAAACTTGGGGACAGGATTCTGTAGCGACAACATCTCAGGCTGTGCCCAGTCATGTGAAGTGCCTGCTTTCATTTCTCAAAGTGAGTATATTTCTCTGGGACTGTAATAAAGTAGATAGTATTCTTTGGCAATAAGTAATCCTATACTGTGCTTTTCTCCAACTCCCTCTAAGCATTTTTCTCAGCAATAAAATGTTTTTGCTTTCTGATTTGCTTCTTGTGCCATGGTGGTGACTTAGAACAAGAACTTAGAACTAGTACAGCGGGTTGGTTATTTGTCTTGCACACAGCTTGACTAAGTTTGGTCCCTGGTACAACATTTAGTTTCCTGAGCAACCTCCACACCCCGAAAAAAAAAGTGGTATCTCAACTCATTTTTAGACTTTTTACATGCCTGCCTAAAACATCTTGGAACTGTGTTTCAGATTTCCAGAGTTGTTCTTTTCCACTTATCAAAAAGACAAGCTCTAAGAACAGCCAGCATCAGGGATGATGTAGTGAAGCTGAACCCCTAATTCAAATCAACAAATAAGAGTGTTTTCTGAAAAGGTCAGAGTCACACAATTAACGATGAACTGCATCTCTGAGGAGTTAAGAAAAAAAGAATGTGATTCATTTTTAAATCAAACTGACTCAGAGCAAGAAAGCAAAAGCCCTGGCTTTCTGATGGGCCTTTGTAATCAAAGGTTACCACAAGCCACTCAGAACTGTTAACTACTGTTTTAATATGAAAATAGGCTTAGGTTGGAAGGTGACTGTGAAGTTAAGGAAATGATGACCTTAGCCAGCTCTTGTCACTGGTTTGATCTTTGGCTCACAGAGTCGTAGTTAATTTCAGCTTAAACTGTTAGCTTTATTATTTTAATCAGTTGATTTTAATATCAGCCTTCTTGTGCCCTTCAAAATATCCAATGTAGAAAGACTTGAATTGTCTTGCACACAGCTTACCTGGGTTCAATTCCTGACACCCACATATGGTCCCCATATAAAAGTCATGATATAAATCTTGACTGTCTCTAGGCCAGTAATCAGCAAAAATATTTTGTAATTAGTATGTATTTTTCACTATCCTTACCTACATTTATTGTGTATGCTTTTTGAATTTTAAAAGCAGTATACATATTTGTTACCGAAAGTTGAAAAATGCAAAACTCTCAAGGACGAACCATTTTTCCTTCACCCAAAGTGAACCATTATCAACATTTTGGTTGATATTGAACAGAGTCCAAGCAGATATAAGTATTTTTCAAACTCTTATGAAAAATTTTTGATGTACAAAAGAATCCATTCTGCAATGAATTCTCCTATGCTCTCAATCTGTGTCACAAACTATTAAAGTTTTGTTACCATTGTACATCTCTTCCATTTTTCTCTTTCCCATCCTCTTCCTTTGTTGAAAGTCTGTTCAACTTACCTTTAAAAGGAAACTACCTTTAAAAAGAAAAGAGTGAACCTTGATTTACTGAGAACCATGGAAGACAGAGACTTCTGCCTGTCAATTTCACAAATACCCATTTACCTTTTATTAACGAAGCAAAAAGTCTAGTTTTAGGACTCACGATTGCATTGTACTTTGGGGATAAGTAGCCTTAAAGCTCAAGTCTATCACAAGCAAGATGGGTATTGATTTTTCCTCTTAAATCAATGTTCCCTTGAGCATAGGTTTATTTATTCATAAAGCAAAG